CTTACAGTAGTATTGAGTGGCCTAATGTGTGCACCTCTACCAACCCCTCCGGGGACAAAAGGCGTGATTTATGTTACGAAAGACAGAGTAGATTATACGATGATTATCTTCTATGGGTAAACAAAATAATTTTTCGTTGATAACTTGTAGAACTCATAAAGTTTCTCACCTTTTGGGCGTATTGTGATAACTCTCATTCTTTTCTGTCTGATGCTGTGTTATCAAATCGCAAGCCTTTCCAAGTATAACGATAGAAACGAGTACTCTTACTGATATTAGGCACAAATAAGCTATAGTTATTAAGAAGATTGCTGCAAATCTGAAATGGAAGAACAGAAAATGATAACATAATTATGTGAATTATAAAATTGTATAGTCAGTGTTAAGCAAAGTTTCTTCATAAAAGACTAAAAGAGTCAAAGTCAAAGTCAAAATCATTTATTTCAATTAGACCAGTAAGGCACTTTTGAATGTCAGCAATAGAAATTTAAAAGTGAAGCTATTTGTTCATTCCAAGGTGTAGATTCCTATGGAAAAGAACGAGCAAGAAACTCCGTAGGTTAGTCTTTTCCAATCAGTTTCACAATACAATTCTTCAGTTACACAGTTTTATTGGTTTGATTGTGCGAGAACAATGTAACACCAAAATCTAGCCAAAGAGATCGAAAAAGAAAATAACCTTAAAGACAATAAATAATTCAGTCTGGAGCTGACCAGTCACAGTTGACGGCGCCCGTTCACGAACATGACACGTATACCAGCACCGCCCAACTCAACCATGTTACAGGGAATCTAGCGATCCAATGCACATGCCACCACCAATGAGATCTTTGAGTGAACATGACAACTCCAAGCTGACATAAATGCATTCTACTAGAGGATCAAACATCACGGCGAAACTTATACCATATCGATGACACAAAAAATCCTGTATTAAATCCTTTTATAAGCAGTAGTGTGTGTAGTTTGCTTTACCCACAGGCCAATGTTATTGGAAAATATTTCAATATCTAAAAAAAATATTCTCTTACCCATCAACTTTAACAGCGTGAACTAGGACCCTGGTTATAACGACTCCGAGAGGCAAAGGTATGAAGCCCATTCTCCGTGCCACTAAATCCGAGTGGTCACTGAATGCGTACTTCTGCCGAGTCTGTGCTACATCGTAAGCCAAACTCACTGTGTATTCTCTATATACTCCATAGGGAATCTCATTGAACCTGGCGAAATATAAAGAAAATAGTGTTAGCAATAAAAAATAACATTTCATAGACATTTGAAAGCCCTGATAGTTGAAGAGTTATCGCTATTCATTGCTTAACAAAAGGTCAAGTGTGATCCCAAGTAGCGCAAAGCATCGTAGAGCTGTTCAAATTTCAAAATTGTCAGTTTAACAAAGTCAGGAATTGTGGCCAATTTATGGCAGTAACCTCGCCAATGCCGAATGGCAAAGAGTGGGTATTATAACATTCAGCATGTGCTGATTTCTGGACAGTAAAAGAATAAATAAAGAATATACATAGAAATGTAAACTAATAATTACCTGGTAATGAAAGCATGTTTGACCCAATCAATTATGACCTCAAAAGTAAGGACTAGGACACAATCAGGCGCTAGTATCCAGAACCGTTCCTCCTTCCACATGTATTCCTTCATAGTTTGAAGCACAACTATAAATAGCAGCACCGACAAATGGAGTCGCTCTCTCACATCACTACAAGAAACTTGGAACAAGTTGTTCTTGTCAAACTTCTTGAAGACACTGCCTTTCAGTTCAACAAACTAAAAAAATACATCTTTTAAAATAGTGTGTTTGCAATAAACTCAACAACAATCCAGATAGTGATTCCATTATGGTTAAGGTATGTTTTAGTGTACAATTTGAAAGAAATATTGTATGTATGTGATGGAAAACCACCATATTAAGTAGTTATCAAATTGAATTTCCTTAAATTAGGTTATTCATTGTTTTATCACCATTGTGAATTATAATTTGAATATTAAACAAGCTTATCAATAATGTATACCAAATTTAAGTCAGGATAATTGAATCCAATAATACAAGTTCAACGTTTCTAAATAATACTGTTATAATGTAAGAAATATTATGTGTGTAGGTATTACGAAATTGTAATACATTTCTATTGCTTCCGAAGCTATTATTTTTATTTGATACTTACGTTGTTAGACATCATTATGATAAGGAGACTTTTATTATTTGAGTTGAAGGCTACATTCAGAGTTGTTGCTTGGAACAATACTAGCAAACTGTGAAGAACTGAAATTGTTGCTAAGGAACATTATTATTAAATCACAATTGGTATCAAACACACACACACACATTATGAAATTATCATTAAGTCATCATAATGATGATTTGCACTAATTGCTTTTAAAGCTTTTAAGATAATATGGACAATATAGTAAGATAGGAAAATTTTATAAATTATAACTGTGTGTTCATTTTCTACTTTGAACTTACAAGTTCTAAATTAACTTCTGATAAGAGAATGTAGTAACTAAATTATGTGTTTCATTTAACTACTGTAATGAGTTAATTGTTAATTAATTGATTAACTATAACACAAAGCACTGTGGTATACAACCCTATCTATTGTACGAAGGTTAGCAAACATTACTGGCATTCCATTTGCTTGTACTCTGTGCCAATTATTGTAGCAATGACAATCACTGATAAATTAATTGTGTGGTTTAAATCAATTAGTGGAATTTATAGAAATGTAGATAACCTGATTTAGTAATACTTACCTACTTATTAAACAACACAAAATCATTGTTAATATTTTGAAACAATATTGAGATTATCGGACTACTAACTCTTATTGGAAAATGTAATTGATAGATCCTATTTTCAATGAAATTAAATGTTATGTAGTTTTCAAAAGGATACAGACATAGATCATAGCAAACAGCAGATGAGGTATTACACCCAAATGTTCCCTCCGTCGATCTCTTGGCTCTGTGGCAGTCCAAAATAGAGCATCAATAGTGTCTTGTCCAAAAGCTGAGAACAGTCTATCACCAACCTCCAGCATATTGTAAAATATATACAATTTCATCACACTCTGGCTCTTCACTAAATGATACATCATATTAGTGTCTATGTAGCACATTAGAATACTACAAATTACTAATATGAAACCTTTAAGCATGTCACATGTTTCTGCTGGTTTTAATATACTTTTGCGAGAATTTGAATAAAACCTGTAATATTTAAAGGGATGATTGTTGAAATTTACATAAAATAGAGTTAATTTACATTTCAATGCAATTGTAGTCACATACCCAAAACATTTCCTTATAAGTCTGCTAAACAAGGTCCAAATAGCCATTATAAACCTCAATGGGAGGAATGTGTAAACAAACAGTAGAGAGTCAGCACATTGAAAGAACCCATAAGCCATAAATTTTTCCAATTCTTGAGGAATTTTAATAAAGGAATAAACCTTTTCTCTCCTTGCTGAAAACCGTTCTTCATCGTGCTCTAGTAAATATCCTCGTGTTAGTTCTACATGTAAAAACGCAAACAAAGAGGCTGCCTTCTCCGGATCTGTAATATTCAATTATAACATTATTAAGATGTCTAGCTACTACTCAGTTCAGTATTGCATATACCGTATATCTCCGATTTTACCTTTACATTTCGTTTCCTTCGCACCTCTATCAAAACTTAGATCGCCGGACGAATTTTGTGTATTGGTTATAGACTTGAACCGTAACCTTTTAGTTTGTTCTTGCACCTCCTCGTTTTTGTTTAACATATTGGTTAAATTCACAATTAATCAAACAGTAAATCACTTTTACATTTGTATTGATTCTATCAGAATTTGTATTTTAATGCGGTGGTAACTAAAGCTCCAAAATTTATTTATATTGACAGATTTTAATGACACAACATTGGATTGGATAATCTGACGTGATCGGTGATTTACACAGCTGACATCGAAACTGTCAAATGTCAATGTCAAATTTTCACCATACCATAGACCATAGACTGCTATATAGTGTTGTAAAACTTTTATATATACATTAGGTGTGACATCATAAAGCGATGAGCGATGCGAAATGCGAGCTACGATAGAGCACGTCGACCCATAAGCAACCTATTCACTCAGGCCTTGAAGGCACCCAGGTTATACTTCTTCTACTTCTTTCACTTCAGGAAATACAAACTCTGGCAAAGAATTCCACTCTAATGACGCACGCACGAGTAAACTGCTGTATAATATCAAAAGGCTCGGTATTAGAAAATATATGGAAAATATACATGTATTTTACCTTAATTTACGGAATAAAAATAAGAAGTAAGAAGAAGAAAGAATACTACGAAAAACGTAAGAATAGTGATAACATTAATATTTTATATTTTGTTCAGGTATATCTATGAACAGTTCTAGTTTAATAAATGAAATATGTATATTATAATTTTCGATTGATTTCCATATTTTAAAATGAATAATTGTAATTTTTGAGATATGTGTGTGATTCAAAAAGTTTAAAGAGTTGTAATCGACACTTCTAATATTTTCTAACCGTGCGCAATCTAAATTATTCAATGGCTAGCCCAAAGAGTTTATTAAGTATAGGGGAAGACTACCAAAATAGCTAGACAATCTTTGATTGTTCAATAGTTTTAAAAATATCTCAAAGAAGTGTGCTTAGTAATGTCTTTTGACACCTATAACACTAATTTCTACAGGAAAAATAGAGTTCAGTTCAAAAATCATTTTAGGGATGAATTTGTCAGCTCCAACTAGCCAAACTAAAACAAACCATTGATGCATCAGCCAGACGCATGTTATTATAATGTGTCTTTCACCAAAAATGTAACATAATAATGCGTTTATACTGCAAAGAAAATTTATTTTATTGTTATAGTTATTACCGAATAAAATAATTAACAAACTAATAATTACACAGACGTTTTAGTATTATTCATTCAAAATCGACTAAATTTGTTTTTTACTTGGTCACACACTATTAGTAGTGGCACGCTATCTCCGTTCATTTCCATCAAGTTGAAATTCGTTGCCTACGTTAGCGAATTTCACTAATTTTAGTAATATTTTACTATCTAAATGTTGTAAAACTGAGCAGGAACTCAATATTTCTTTGTCTAAAACATTTTATAAGATACTAAGTGTGTTAAAACCGCAATTATGGCTTCGAATGAAGGGCGAAGTGCTCAGTCGAACTTGCATCAGCAAGACCTAACCAAATTGGTGAGTTAAAATGCCTAAAATATCAGATATAAACATACCGTTTTCATTAATATTATATTAGATTACCCTATTAGTTTTTGAGTTTTATTTTTAATGGTCACTGAAAACAACATAACCTTTTAGTGCATATTTTACACATGTACGTTGAGAGGAAACTAGATACTTGTTACAATTAATTTCCTAAAAATTACTTCATGAACTAGTTAAAAAAAATTTTAGAAATTATCATCGTCAAAACTCCAGATTATGATGACATAAAAAAATTACCATGAAATCTAACTTGTATTGTTTTTAAATTTCAGGATGTTACGAAACTATCAGCGTTATCACCTGAAGTGATATCAAGACAGGCGACAATAAACATTGGTACTATTGGCCATGTAGCTCATGGTAAATCAACCGTGGTGAAGGCTATCTCAGGAGTCCAGACTGTCAGATTCAAGAATGAATTAGAGAGGAATATTACTATCAAGTTAGGTAAGTATTTTTCCATATATAATAGGTAGTGTTTAATTTTATTAAACACTAACTATTATTGTTTAATTTTATTGTATTGCTGGCTAAAAATATTAAAATAATAACATCTGACATGAATAAATAAACTTACTAAAAATATACAAGATTTATAATGAAAAAACAAATCTTTAATTATTAAATTTTTTGTTCAAAAGCCCTAAAATTCCAACCTGTTTTAGACACATTGCTCAAATTTCTTATTTTTGAAATACTACTTGGACCATTTGATATTTTCGAACATTCAGGAATTCTAAATATTTTAGGATTCACTCTCTTTCAAATTAACAAAAGTCAACTGTATAATATTTGGTAATAAATTTTCAGAAATAAGGCTTAAACACTTTAATAACAAAGTTACTTGTTATTTATTAATGAAAATTATTCAGATGCTATGCAATATACCATGTGAAATATTTGGAAAACTTGAAAGTATATTTATAATGCTTGTTGATCTTGTAAGGTTGTAAATTAATCAAAACACATGGTATGTTGCAGAGCGCCTGTCGGACTCAGTTATTAAAATGTACCGCGAAAGGGCAGATATTAAAGATGAAAATGAGTTCTTTGAAAAGTTAAAAAGAGCAAAAAAGAGGAACTTGAGTTTTGAAATTGAAGATGAAGTCTGCATGCCTGCACCTAAAAAGCAAAAGAAAAATTCTCAAGAGCCACAGGAGTACATTATTGAAAAAATTCTTGGGTTTAAATATGAATCTGGCAAGGAATACTTTCACATCAAATGGAAAGGTTGGCCAGACAGTGAAAACACATGGGAACCAATTGAACATCTTGATAACTGCCCAAGTGTATTGAGAGAATTCCTTGTGGAAGAAGAACTCAAATACTGCAATGAAATAGAAAATCTAAAGGAAGAACTTTCATTTGATAATTTACTGAGTGAAGAAAATCTTATTAAAAGATTCGATGAAATTGAGGGAAATGATATACTGAAATTAAAAGAGAGTTTAACATTAAAATTACTTACTATGATTGTTTTACCTCAAGAATGTGAAGCACAAGCCACAGAGCTGGTTCAAGAGACAAGAGATCTCTTACAACTTTATGTTATGACAAGAAAACGATGTCAGCAGTTAATGAAATTAAGAAAATGGGAAGAACACTTGAATCAAGTTGACAAATCAAAAAAACTTCTTGTAGAAAATAACTTTGACTTTGCTGGACCACCAGAAAATTTTACTTATATTAATCAATATATACCTGGCAGTGGTGTCACTATACCTGATGATCCACCCATTGGATGTGAATGTACTGCATGCAATTGTCGATCTAAAACATGTTGTGGCATGCAAGCTGGCCTATTTGCCTACACTACAAAGAAAAGACTTCGTGTTGCACCTGGTACTCCAATTTACGAATGTAACAAAGCTTGTAAGTGCTCTTCAGAGTGCTGTAATCGTGTTGTTCAAGGTGGCAGAAATATTAAATTGAGTATTTTTAGAACATCAAATGGATGCGGGTGGGGAGTAAAAACAGAACAGCAAATAAGGCAAGGACAGTTTCTTTGTCAATATGTTGGAGAAGTAATAACATTTGAAGAAGCAGAAAAACGAGGGAGAGAATATGATGCAAATGGTCTCACTTACTTGTTTGATTTAGATTTTAACTCTGTTGAGAATCCATATGTAGTTGATGCAGCTCATTTAGGAAATGTTTCACATTTTATAAATCATTCATGTGATCCTAATCTTGGGGTATGGGCAGTGTGGGCTGATTGTCTTGATCCTAACCTTCCTATGTTAGCTCTCTTTGCTACCCGTGATATAGAAATTGGTGAAGAGTTATGTTTTGATTATCTGCAAAAAGCTTCCGACAGTGATGAAATAGAAACAAATGGTTCTAGTATAAGTAAAGATAGTTCATATGACAATGACATACCAAGTGGATCAGAAGCTAACACAGGCACCACACCAGTATCACCTGTCAAATCTCGATTTGAAATACAGCAGCAGAATCGAGCTATGCTTAGGAATCTTACAGAATGTAAATGTGGTGCCTTAAAATGTCGCAAATATTTATTTTGATTGTTGTTCACCACACAATGAGATAATTTTATTACAAAAAAAAACTAGTTTACAGAGAAACTTTATCCAGCATAAAAGGAATCTCACTAAACAAGTGTTACATTTTTCTATAAAGTTTTCAAACAAGTGTTCTTGTTCTATTATTTTTTTCTCAATCTAAAGACTGTTATATCAGAAATGTTGTTAAACGTTATATGAATGTGTCTAGAGATATATGTGTTACACTATTTTTGTATTGATGTATTGCTAAGTCAGTAAGGCTGGCACCAATTACAAAGTTATAGACTTAAATAAAATTTTAATCCAGCTGGATGGGATTTTCGTCACAGACACTCCTCACTAGAATTTATAGTAGGTATAAAATCATGGTTGCCTTATTGATAATAGGGGTGCTAAACTGTATGATGTAAATAAAACAATTTAGAATTAATTTCTCTACTGAATTTATACAATTCATGATATTTTATTAGGTTATATTTTAGTTTTATAGTCTTAAGTACAAGTAAGTTAATCTTGTTCGGTCACCGTAAGTAGGGGCATGCAGACGACGAGCACAGCAACAGCGATCAGAACCAGACCCGAGCGTACGGCGCATACGCGCCCTAATCGGTTATAGCGCTAATGCCGATACGGAGCCGCGGAGGACTTAACGGATTGCCGGGGCTCCGACTCGAAGAGCAGAAGTAGGAATGGGGTGTTTTTTAGTCAGGATGAATCTGACACTCCCTCTCGCCTCACCCAAGGCGGGAGAAGTCATTAGATGGTTTACCCCAATCAAAAAAAATAAAAACCAATTAATCTACTGAACAATAAATTCTAGATTAACTTGTCTCATATTAATAGAATAGTATTGTTTTTAGTGCATTGTGATGACTTTCCATTTTGTTAATTTTTAAGTTTAATAAAACGTTATGTCGCCAAACACATGTGTATTTTTTGTTTATCTTTAATTGTTCTATGGTTTCCTCAGACGTTTATAAAACCAATGTAACATAATATATAACGTGTTGGTACGATAGGTTTCCTAAATATTGAACATTTTACCTTCCATGAAATCAATAAACTTCGTTAATTCTCAGTGTTTTCGTTTATTTAAGGAGCATCAAAAGCGATTTTTGATTTAGGTATTTACTTTACAGAATCATACGTAAAACAATTGTTTTAGTTTTGGTTTGTTATCTATTTTATACTGAAATGGAACAATATGCTGGGCAAACACATTTTTATTATTTTTGTTGACTCGGTACAAGTTTATCTAAAAGCTTCAAGCATTCGTTAGCTAATTTAATTTATATTGAAATGGAACGTTAAATGCAGAACTAACAGAATTTATCGCAGACGTGGACCAAGTTAATCTGAAAGGCTTCTACAATATACAAGTCAAGTCATGTTTGTAGCGTGCGATAGGTTGGTGATATATATTATGCTTGGTATTATATATTATTAGATGCTCAGTACCGATACTTGGTATCCAGTGGCAAATATTATAATGATATAATGAAGGTTCACAATTGATAGGTTGGCAATTATTATATGATACAATGTTTTATATTATATGGCACATCACTATACACCTACACCGCCAGATACACGGCACCGTAAAAAACTCAACTATCTTATTTTGTTTAAGGTTACGCTAACGCAAAAATCTACAAATGTGACAATCCAAAATGTCCGAGGCCTACAAGCTTCATCTCGGGTGGTTCTTCAAAGGACGACAGTTTCCCGTGCCTGCGGCCCGCCTGCACCGGCCGCTTCCAGCTGGTGCGTCACGTGAGCTTCGTCGACTGCCCCGGGCACGACATTCTTATGGCCACCATGCTTAACGGTGCTGCGGTCATGGACGCCGCATTGTTACTTATCGCAGGTATACTTGTTTCACTTTATTATTTTCTATTATTGAAATGAAATGAAGCTAGAGGTGTATGTGTCCATCGCTACAAGTGGCGGGTTAATAAATATTGTCTTATTTTAGGTAATGAGTCTTGCCCCCAACCACAGACCAGTGAACATTTGGCTGCCATCGAAATTATGAAATTGAAACATATACTCATACTGCAAAATAAGATTGACTTGGTCAAGGAAGGCCAAGCTAAGGAGCAACATGAACAAATCGTAAAATTCGTGCAAGGCACAGTTGCTGAAGGAGCACCCATCATACCCATCTCTGCTCAGTTGAAGTATAATATTGAGGTAAGTTTTTGCCACTTGATACGATTACTGTGTGAGATCTTTTATCGTCGCTTTAGATTAAGCCCGCTAATCATTTGTCAGGCAATAATTTCAAATGTTTTTTTTAGGTGCTATGTGAATATATCACAAAAAAGATCCCAGTCCCACTGAGAGACTTCACTTCCCCCCCTCGAATGATTGTCATCCGTTCTTTCGACGTGAACAAGCCTGGTTGCGAGGTCGATGACCTTAGAGGCGGTGTCGCTGGTGGTTCTATCCTACAAGGAGTACTAACAGTCGGTATGGAGATCGAGGTTAGTAACACTTATTTTTTAGTGTGAAAGAACACAAAAATGTGTTATTTCATTTTACATGAAACTCGAACCTTTACAGTTCGTGTCTACTGCACAAATGTAAAAGATGCATACTTATGAGACATAGTAGGATCATTAAAATTATTTCTTTGATTCCAACTCTCAGTTAAAAAAATATGTTGATTAACGGGACATGGTGCAAATTCTTCAGTTATTGTGGATTTTCAATCAACTTTTATCCAACAGGTTCGGCCTGGACTAGTGAGCAAGGACGCTGACGGCAAATTGACATGCCGCCCCATCTTCTCCCGCATCGTGTCACTATTCGCTGAACAGAATGAACTGCAATATGCCGTGCCCGGAGGACTTATCGGAGTAGGCACTAAGATCGAACCCACGCTTTGCCGTGCTGATCGACTTGTAGGACAGGTATTTTAGTTTTTAAACTCGAGGAATAACTGGTATCACATAGTGGTATTTACTAATATAATTTTGCTTTTCTAAGGTACTTGGCGCCGTCGGTGCACTGCCTGGCATCTTCGTGAAGCTTGAAGTTTCGTATTACTTATTGAAACGTCTACTTGGAGTGCGCACTGAGGGAGACAAGAAAGCAGCTAAAGTACAGAAGCTGACTAAAAACGAAGTAAGTAAATTAACTTAAGTTATAATGTAATATACTGATAATGTACTGACTGCCTCGTTGGCCGAGTGGTCGCAAGTGCGACTGCCGTGCTTGAGGGGTTTCGGGTTCGGTTCCCGGGTCGGGCAAACTATTAGGTACTGGGTTTTTTTTAAAATCTCAGTAGTAGCACGGAGTCTGGAAATGTGCCCGGTATATGGAAATAGGCTGACCCCCTATTACATGGGACTTATAACATAAATAGTGAAAAGTGGGTGTTACATTGTACAGTGGCATTAAGTGTCGAAATGTGCACCTCTGCCTACCCCTTCGGGGATAAAAAGGCGTGATGTTATGTTATAATGTAATATAATAACTAAGGCACAGGATACAGGAATGCATTTGCAATACCTATCGTATCGGTATTTTATCTTGAAAGCCATGGACCTTAATTTTGACATTAATACAGTTGCATTACAGTCTACATTCTGAATGAAAGTCTGCTAATTTTCTACTACATGAAATTTACAATAACTTATATTAGAGAATTCAGTTTCTATATATTTGCTTACATAAGAATTATATCTTGATATATGTAAAGGAAAAGTTTACATTAATTGTATTTTATTACAGGTATTGTTGGTGAACATTGGATCTTTGAGTACAGGTGGAAGAGTAATCGCCACTAAAGCCGATTTGGCCAAGATCGCCTTGACCAATCCAGTCTGCACGGAAATCGGAGAGAAAGTAGCCCTCAGCAGGAGAGTCGAAAATCATTGGAGGTGAGCCAACATGTTTTCATAGTTTCAGCTAAAAATGGAGGATTTAAATATTTCCGACATCATCATCATTATATCGGCACCAAACGTTCACTGTTGAACACTGGCTACCCCTAATGACTTTTCTTAGTTTCGGCAATTTATTAATTTGCACAAACCTTAGTTTATAAATAAAAGACTGGTACTAAGGAACATTATTCATTACAGGTTGATTGGCTGGGGTCAAATTCAAGGAGGAGAGACAATCGAGCCAGCAAAGAATTAATGTTATGTTTTTTATACATTGAACTATTATATGTATTTAATAAAAGCAAATATAAATGTAAATAAAATTATTATTTAATTTCAATTAAACTTGACTACCTATAAAATAAATCAAAATTCGAGAAATCATTTTAGAGAGAAACATTTCTTGGATAAACAATTTATTTGATTTTTTGTTCAGTTATGCTTGCAATGATTAATTTTAGGCCATGTATATAAAAGTGTTGATATCTTCATCATCTCGCCGCATGTATTTATGTTCGATGAGCCATTCCAACTGCTCTTTTATCATCTTCTTAGAAGGCAGGAACATGTTTTTCAATATCTCTACCAGTTCACTCTGCAATTAGATGTTTTATAGATTAATTATTGAGCTCAGTGGCAAAAGTCATTCGTACGATGTAACCTTTGTTTATGGGTAACTAGGTATATATCTCATATGATCTGAAACCAATATGAATTAACCCCCTATTACATTGGGATGTAAAAAATTATAGAAAAACTTTGTATAGCTTTTGGCCGCAACTTTCAACAGACAAGAGGATAGGTAACGTTTAAGCTATATAAAGGTATTATTATCTATGTGGGGCTGCAATCTACTACATTTGTTTTGCATTAGTATTCTGATGGATTAGTGTTGATAAAAAGGCTTTCAATGTGTTTATTTAGACGCGATAATCTTGGATTCGGAAATTGAATAGCATTTCATAAAGAGATTACACTTAAGAACGTAACATACAGCTAATTTATGAAAATTTCTATGTAAATCGTATCGTAATCTAACTAGTAACAAAGTAGTGACCACACCATTATATATGAACATTTACAATCCTTACCTGAAGAGCAGTATTTGTAATCCGTTTCCTCATCTTCAATATCTTTATAATGGCTTCTTGTGTCCTTAATATTCGAAGCTGAACAATGGAATGATTATCCTCTATTTGAGATCTTTCAGTGCTCAATTGGAGTCTACCAATCAAGTTAATTTTTCCCCTGCGTTGAGGTTTACCATTTTTAACAAGAGCAAACTCTTGATTTACCCAGAATGTAGTGTTCTCAGTAAAATCTTTAGGGTTCTGGACCACTGGTTCATGGCACAACAGCTGCCGTTTCAGTTTTGGGAAAGCTACAAGGGACCATAGAGTTCTCCTAAGTTCAGGATCAGGTAGCTCTGTTGCAAGTCTCAAGTTCTCATAACTAATCTTTTCCATTGGTCTCTGATTCCATGCAAATAAGACTGCCATTTGAAATGTTGTAACATCCAAATCAAATCTACCAACAGAATTGGCAAATGTTATTGTTCCATTGCTCATATGATGATACCACTGCAATTTGCGACCTGAATGCTTCTTCTTATAAAACTCTTCAACTTCAGGGATGTAGTCTTCTAACTCTAATGGAAGGCTGACAGTGACTCGTTCTGAGCCACGGGCCCAAGCCCCAGCATTTAATATCTTTATGTTGATAGCATCATGCCGTGTAGTATCAGTCCTAAACTGAGTGTTAAGGTCTTCACTAACCTTAATATCTTGGAACATACGAGCCAGTTTGTTGACATAGTCGGCAGGCATACCCACCTCCCTAAGCCACTCTACCATATCTTCTTCTTTTTCAGAATCTGCACTTGAATCTAAGATTAATCTTCTAGTTAGGTGTGCCTTGTGATATCTCATAAAGACATCCTTATTTTCTATATATTTTAAGACTAACAATACATCTCGTAACCTTGACTCTATCTGCTCACTTGTTAATCGTTTACTTAGTGGAGTTTTTCGTAACAACATGTCGCAATAGTTAGCAAGGAGCTCAGGACATTTACTCTCAGGTGCAGTGCCTTTACTACCGCGAATTAAAGCTGATGAAGGTAATTCCAACTTAAACACTGTAGTGTCATTAACAACACATTTGTAAGCCTTATCTCTAGCTGTCAAAAACCTTGGGTCATCCAAAAATGCATCTTTAGCCAATGAGCTGAAACGTTTGAATAGATCTAATAAACGTTCCACATACTTTTCTGAGTCAGAAGTGATGATATCAGCAGAGGCTACCATATCTGCCAAGCCGGCAGAAACTATATGTGCTTCAAGATCTCTCAATATTGGTGTAACTCCTTCAGGAACTCTATCAAGAAGACGGAACATAAGTTGCAACTTCTCAGTTTCACCAGCTTTAATCAATGGTGCACTCTCGGCAAGCAATGTGGGCAGGTGCTCTCCAATCAAAACTTTCTCACAACATTGTGTGAGTGCTGCAACACTACCACTGCCTGGCTCCAGGTACCTATGAGCTCTAGCTTCCTCTTCTTTCAAGCGTTGATCAGCATATTTCATGTAAGACTGAACTCCATTTGCTAATAATTGTTCACTGGCTTTTAGTTTATAAAATTCTTCAGTGGCTTGCATGTATGCAGCTTCAAAATTCTCTCTGTATATTTGAAGTTTATCCACCGAGTTTGAACACAAATTAACTGCAAGCAAAATAAGTTATAAGTAATTAGAACATCCTAGGTTAAATAGTACAATGAGTAATCCAACAAGCCACTTACCATATGACTCCCTTACACCAATTACCAACTGTGAATCAAAAGATTCACCATTTCTTTCAGCTTGAACCAGCTTCATAGCAGAGTCTTGTAGCCTCTGTTTGATATCCATGAAGATGCTTTGGTTCCATGAGTCTAACATTAGCTTTCTCACCAAACTATCTTCTATGTTATTATTGTTATTCTTTTTCTGAGTGCTAGAAGTGTTGGAACTAGACACCTTACTTACATTGTTGATAGAATTTTCCAATTGTCGGAAAGGCGTCGGTAAATAGTTGCACTGTGTAAAGAACTTGCCCCATTCAGCTATGTAAGCTTTAAGGAGCGCTTGATCTTCGCGTTGTGCTAGTACGCGGTTCTGAGCCTGTTTTATATACATCATAATATCTTGCTGAAGCGCATCTCTTAGTTTGTATGGACCTCTCTCATCCCACAAACAGACAGAATGGACAGAGCCGAAGAGATCTTGCCATTCTGTTTGCGTTACTGTTTCCTGCTTTAGTAGCTTCAGAACTATAGGGCGCATAGCAGGCCATTTATCTTCAAAAGTAACTTGTCCTTTATCCTGCAAATCAAATCCATGAACCATTTTAGATTTCAACAAACACACCAAGTATATTTAAGCACAATATCTAAAGAAATAGGAACCTTCAACATGACTCCTTAGTTATAATTTATACAATTCACTTGAATATACTTCTCATAATCAAATTATATACAGGATCGACCGATTTGTAATTTTTTATGAAAGTATTGAGTAGCACAAAATTCACGATTTCGACGTCAATATGCGTGAATGTGAATGAAAATAAATCAAGCATACAAAATTGAAATCGACTAGTTCATCAACTGACTCGACTAAAGTCTCAGAAATAATATGTTGTTGCATGTAAATTAATTTAATGGTATGAATCAGAATCATCGAAAAATTTCAGTGAGTAATTTTAATGAATTAAATATCTTAATTCTGTAACTGTGTGAAAATATTAGATAACTAATAGGGTATTTTACTGTATTCGAGAAAAAATCTAAAACTATATTATTGAAATAGCTTAGGCAATAGGCAATCGGTAAGTGTAGTTTTAGTTCATAAAATAACAAAAGGAATTTTTAAATTCAATTCAAACTTTTCAGGTTTTTTTATCTGTTCTATATTACCACGAAATAGCAGCCATCTTGTTATTACGTCATTCGGCTACGTAAACAAAAGTGACAGCTGTCAACCTATAATGTTAAAAGTTTATGTATAGTACATCTAAAAATACTTATAAGTACATAATAATATACTATATTATTATTGTAAATATTCAGAAATAAACATAATTAAAAAAGAAGGTAAAAAAAAATAGTGAAATTGCCAAACCACAACAGCTGTTTGTTTTTTGTATTTGTATAGTACATCTAACTACACTCCTGACGACAAGCTATGCTGTGCTACGCTGACGACTTTTATTATTTTTCAAACTTCTAATAATCATGGAAGGCGGATTCGTAAAAGCAGACAATACAAATTTACCGAGAGTGAGCGCCTTGATGATCGGTAAATTCTTTGCAGCCAATCCAGATTTTTGTTCTGCTGAACTACGGAATGTTAAGACATTGATGTAAGTAATGATCTCATTCATCTATAAATCTCATACATTTATTTCAATAATCCGTTTCATTGCGTTATATAGTCTTTAAAAAATAATTTCTTTTTCAGATCTGGAAGAGAGTCTTATGGTGACGATGCAATAGGTTATGTACAACTGAGGAGAGAGCAAAGTACTTGCATTGTTAAATGTACCGTTTGCCCAGAACACAGAGTGCGATGTAAAGCTTATGCAGCTACACTTGTAGTGAATGAAGAGGAGGAAGTGGTGACAAGTGTGAAATGCCACGACTGTCCTGCATCCGAAGGTGGCTGTAAACATGCAGTTGCATTTTTAATGTGGCTGCACCGACGAAGCGAAGAGCCTCCCTGCACGTCGATAGAGTGCTACTGGAGGAAGTCCAATCTCAGTAAAGTTGGAACATCCATCAAGATATTGACTGCGAGAGACATGGCCAAAAGAAAACCCAAAGAATTTGAAGAAGAACCTCAATTAATGATCGAATTTGTGGAAGAATGCAAAAAAAGAAAAATTAACACATGCCAAATTCTGAAACATGAAACTGAATATCCTGGTGGTCTTGGCACAGTTCTATCAATGCACAGTTTAATAATTAATCACTGCGATGAAAATTGTTGAGATTTTCTTCAAAAAAAGACTTTTTTGAAGAAAATCTCACATCATTTCAACAAGGATAATATAAAAACTGCAGAAAGAGACACGCAATCACAACACAACAGTGGCCTATGGCACGAACTGCGATATGGACGAATCACAGCTTCTAAGTGTTATGAAGTTAGCCGTTGCAAAACTATCGATGGAGCTTTAGTTTCAGTAATTCTTGGAGCAAGGACTCCAGAAACAACTGCTATAATTAGGGGCCGAAAATTAGAAGCCCAAGTGCGGAAAACTGTACAACAGATGTTAGGAATTAAAATAAAAACTTGTGGGTTATACATATCCGAAAAATTTCCGATGATAGCTGCCTCACCAGACGGTATAAATGAAAGGACCACTTTTGAAATCAAGTGTCCCACAACCGATAAAACTAGTGAAAATTATATTAATAAAAAAGGTGAAATAACTGAAAAATATCGAGCCCAAGTGCAAATACAAATGTATTGTGCTCAAGTAACTGAATGTTACTTTTGTGTTGCAAGTTGTGATTTTGAAAACAATAAAAACGTAACACTTGTTAAGGTTAATTATGATGAACAATATGTAATAACTCTGTTAGACAGCGTTGTTTCGTTTTGGAAAAGTAATATTTTTCCAGTTCTGTACAAAACTGTCATGATTACGCAATAAAATTATTATTAATTTATTAAGTAGTTTCATTGTCATTACAATAAGTGCAGTGTGTGAAAGCTATGGCATTTCATATTTCAAATGCAAGAGTGAAACTTTCATGACAAAACCCTCAACTGAAAATTCCTGATAAGTTTTTGAACCATAAACATTACTGTTAAGATTTTATAGGCGATAATAAACTATAAGAAAAACATCTGAGGGTTTCTAAAACACTGAGATGTTTATAATCATTTCAGAGTTGCATTCCACATTATCAATGTTAATTTTCTCTAGC